GGAGTGTGCTTTAAAATATCCTACCCAACCCTCCCCCTAAAAAAATGTCATGAGGAAAATAGTGAAACAAGATGGACAAAATGTTAACAGTGTTGAAGCTGGTAGGTACATGGGGATGTGTGATACTATTTGTCTGACTTTCGTCTATTTGAAAATTGTCATAGTAAAAAGTTTTGTTTTAAGTCTATGATGGAAGGAAAGAGCGGTTTTGTCACCATATGCTCTGTGGAAGCTTTTGAACTGGAAGCAATGAGATGACTTTTTGGGTCAATTGGCTAAAGGATTTGGCACTTTTCTGTGCCTCTTCTTGGTGACCTTCAGCACTTAAGGCAAGAAGCAGAGGAGAGCAGGGAGGTCAAAAGAGAGGAGAGCTGTGATTTAGGTAGAGGGTTTATCAGAGCTTAGTTTTCCTGCATCTGTGTATCAAATTAAACGAAGTCCTCTACTGCCTCTAGCTTTAATCTGTAGTGAAGCTCAGCACCTGTGTAACGTAATTCACTTCTATCACTTCTTAGATAATAAAATGTGAAAGCTGGAAGAAACTTGAGAAAATACCCAGCTGAACCATCTTCTTTTGCATCCAGATGTTATAAGAAGGTTATGTGTAGGTGGGCAGGGTGAGATACTTCTCACTAAACTTTGTTTCATTTCTCCTTGCCACCCTGAAAAAATCCATAAGGCAATAAAACGAATGTGCAGTCTTTTTTTTTCCTAAAAATTAAAATGAGGGGACACTTTAGAAGAAGAAAACATCTACATGATTGAAAAGGGGAAGGTCTAAACTCATACAATGTTATATGTCAATTATATCCCAGAAATGCTGAAATTTTTTTTTAATTTTTAGAAACGTACTGGAAAAAGAAAACAGGAAGGTCCAGCTTCACGCAGTGGCTCCAGGATGCTCAGAGGAAGGAAGCAAACTTGGCCAAGGTGAAGCCAAGATTTTCCTGAGTTGGTCCAGATTCCAGACTAATATTTCAAAGAGGAAAGAGATCAGTCAAGAGTTGGAGTCTACAGTCCCTGGAAATACGTAACATCAATGCTCCTGTCACCTCAGCCTAGCATGCTGGCTGGCGTTTCTGGTATTGATGAGGAAATGGACCCAATTTCCCAGGTTCTTCTGCCATCCCTGTACCCAGCCTGGCATCTGCCCAGTCCTCTGTCCTGAAAGGGTGGCTGACTACAAGTATTGGAGAAGGCTTTGTTGGTGTGAACATCTCATGCCATGAGTCAGTCACAAGAGGGCTGGGTGTGTGAAGGTTTCCAGAAGGGTCAGGAGAATCAGAGCAGGGCAGGATTCGCAATAGCAGCCAGCCAGGAGGTCAGTCCTTCGGGGCGGGCCCTCTCCTCGGGCTGCTTTCCCTGTGGTGTGGACTGCGCTTGACACAGCTGCGGCTCCTTCACCAGCTCTACTCCCACTGGATTCCCAGAAGCTCACAGCTGACAGTCCACAAGCGCTCAGCCGTTTTGTTGTTCCTGGCCTTGGGAGACACACAAGTCCTCCTGCAGTCACTGGAGGGCAGAGAAAGAGGGTGAGCATGCAGAAGTCAAAAAGGACAGTCTGTAAAAGTTTATGGCCTCTTCCTCAGAATCTAGTTCTAAATGGATAAAATACATTGAATGAGAAGAAATTGAAATCCAGTTTTAAAATATTAAGAAAAACCAAACATGTGGTATAGTAAGACACAGCCTTCTTTATTAACATGTTTTATAACAAGAACTAGCACGGGATCTGATCATCACCAGATTTCAGGGTACTGGCGAGTGGGAGTGACATTCTGCTGTATCTGCAACAACTGCAATGTGACATGAAATTATAGTTTTATTGATGACAAAGTCACAGGCATCACTACTACCCCTGCGTTTCACTGCCTACATTCATAATCGAAGAATATGCCAAATTTCAGACGGAGTTAGTGAAATTAAAGAAGTTATCTTCCCATTCAAGTTCACAGACCCCTTGAATTCCATCCACAGACCCACTTATGCCCTATGAACCCTTGACTAAGCACCCCTGTTTTGTTTTTAGGGGGAGCTGGGGGCTTGAGATTGGACAGATGAGGAGAAGGGGGCAGAATACAGGGCTGACAGCATTTTTCTTTAAGTAGAAATTTTTTTCTAATTATAAAAGTCCTGTACAGCATTTGGCAAATGCAGTACTGATAAAGAAGAAAAGCCTATTATTTAATTGCTTTTCCATACACTTTTTTTTGCTTTGTGTGTGTATAGATAGATAGATAGATAGATAGATA